CTAAATGCTAGGGTGAGAGTGTGGAATGTGAGAATGCGAGCAGCTCTCTGACTGGTTCTTATATTCATTTGCAAAGCATCCTGACACATATTGGAGTGTCACCACTGGGCACTGCCCTGCTTCAGATGGCTCTTCTATTGGTGAACTATAGAGAGGTCTGGTTATTTTGAACACAATACACCTCCACTCCTAGCCTCTCGATTTTGAAATCAAAGTAAACTTTAAAATATATATATATATGTTTAAATTATAGAGTAAAAGAAAAAGTCTTATAACCCAGAGTATGTTAGAGTAGATAAGAAGAAACTCACAAATACATAAGAAAAAAAATCTAATTAAGTGGGCTCTGTTTTCTGTCATAATGTCATTGAAACTCTTCTACCAGCCGAGTCTCTCCTTGTAAGAGAATGAGCAGGTGGCATTGCAAGGTAATTTCTCGTGACCTAATTCTGAAGTGTGCAAAGCCGTAAGTGATTGCATTTGGAAGAAACATTCACCAAAGGCATTGGACTTGGGAACTCACCATTAGCACGGCCTCATATTTGTGCTGAGAGATGTTCCATAAGCAACTAGCACTAGCTTCCATGCTGCTCAAATTTGTTTTGTATCACAAAGTGGGTGACAAGGACAAAGAGAGAATTTCGCTGTTGCTCAGAAGGGCTCTACATAGGCTGGTGGTTCCCCAGGCAAAAGAAGGGAGAAGGAAAATGAAACTAAGCTGGAGAAAGGAAGTGGCATGGATCAAAGCCTGGACCTTTGCTGGCATAAAGCCCTCCTGCACGGAGGTGTAAAAGTGTGATGAGGGTCCAGGCCCTTGCAGCAGGTGAGCTCATGGCCATGGTTGCATTGCGCATGCAGGCGTCTGATTTGAAGGGATCACCAGCTACATTTCATGGGACAGTCTTGAAACATAACATCATGAAAGGGGCTGTATGGGGCTGGAATAGAGGGAACTTGGCCCCACTCATTGATAACTGGAGCTGATGAAGTCTCTTTTTTCCTAATCTCCCAAATAGGCACTCACTTTTTCTTGCACCGTTTGCAAGGCCAGCAGATGGCAATCTCTGTGTTCATTTGGCGTCACATATAGCACTTTATCATAGCGTACTTAACACCAATTGCGTCAGTTTGGGGCAGAACTTGTCTCAGTCCTGGCCAAAAGATGTTTTGTTCTTCCTGGCTGATATTTCTATTCCAGATGTCAACCAGATGTAGAACAAGAAATGTGTCTATGTAGGAGCTTTCCCCTCATCATGAAGCCCTGTAAACTGGACAAGGAGAGCTGCTAAACTCAGGGTCAGCTAGAGCACAGGCCAATAATAACACCTGGACATCAGAGTTTCAGTGGCTCTCAAATAAAGCCTAGATCTTTGGGGCTGAAACCCTGTCAGTACCTACGGGTAGGTTAGCTCCAGATTGTAGCATTTATTTTTAAAAGCTGGTAATATTTATTTTTAAAGTCTGAAGTGTCATATTGCGCCATCAGTTTCTAAGCAATATTCTTGGAGGCTCCACTGAAAAAAAAAATATAGATATGTGTGTGTGTGAAGACTCCAAGGGGGCTGCTCCATTTACCACAAGATTCTTTCAGTTTCAGGAGCTTGATCTGACCAACCAGGCACTGCTCTTTTTATTATGGGTCACTGCTTTTGCAAGCCTCCCTGCACTGACTCCTTTCCCTGCTTCCATGCAAGGGGCTGCAGCACAGTCCCCCTGTTTACACTATTAGCTGTTATTTCCCCAGCTGCTGGCTGGGTTGCGACCCCGCTCAGATCACTGACAATAGCCTCTTCCCTTCCTAGGACAGCAAGGAGAGCTCAAGAAACCTGTCCCTTCTCTAAGCATCAGCAACATCAGCCTCGTGGGATCCTGACCCTGTTGTTCAGTGCTCTCACAACCCCCATGGGCATCCATGGGACACCACACACCTGGTAGCTGAAATTTGGGTGTGCTGCACACACAGCCCCTGTGACACTTGATATATATTTATTTAATTCCAATATCTAAAGCAGTGTATAGAAAGACTCATAGTTTTGCCATTCTTAAACAGATACATTTTTCCCTTGGTGGACAAATTACTTCAGAACGGAAGTTGTTGAAAATTAATTCCTATTCTCTAGATATCCTTCTGCCTTCCTCTCCTGGATTTAAAAGCTATTTACTTTCTTACGTCTCTTTCCTACATAGGCATGAGAAGATCATGACCAAGGTGTGGCTGTGCCTTCTCCAATGCTCCCTTCAAACTCTTCCCACATCCCCCTTAACAGGATCATTTCTAGACATCGGCTCACTTTCTGAACCCTTCCCAGTCCTTCCTGAAAAGCTCGATGTGCACAGCAGTAACAGCCATACTGAGACCATATATGTGGTCATATATGAGATCTTGATATGTGAAGAGCTGTAGACCTTGCTGTAGCATCATGCCAGAAGCTCAGAATACTTGCCTTCTAGGATATGTATCTTAGGTTTCGCACATTTTTTTCTTCTTTTTGCTGTATGACCTCGTGCTGTCTCTTTAAAATATATATTACCACCTGTCCTATGTTGGACAGTAATTCTATGCTTCTGAAGTAATTCTGATGTAAAATTCTGTATTTCAGCAGTTATTTCAGTTACCAGTCATTTTTCCCCCCATCTTCAATATAGACACTGTTAGTCTTGGAAATAATCCTTTTGGCATCATCTCCTCTTGTGCTACAGCCCCTCTCAAGAGTTGTTCACAGTCTGTCATCTTCGGTGATCGCTCACCTTTGAACACATTAAAGGCAGATTTTGCAGCATGCGGCTTTTTCTAAGGAGACTGAGAGCAAAGCAAGGTCCTCACCGAGTGTCTCTAATGTATCTGCAAATGGATAGGAGAGACGACAGGGAATAATATGTAAATCCCAGTTTCTCTCCTGAGAAGTCAGGGGCTGGAAGTCTTTTTCTTTGCTTCACTAGACCAGTGCAGATAAATGATGTTTCTTTCTGCATGGTTTGAAACCATCCTTGACAATATCATAATATCCTTATATAACAATATCCTTAATAGTAACATAATGTCAAAAACAAAAGAAGAAACAAAAAGAAAAAAGTTCCATTTATCCCTAAACTAAGTATATGCCTTCAGCTTTGGTCGGGTGACTTTTCTGATCTTTGTAATATAACTGAAGGAAACATTGCAATGAAAACTCATTTTGAATCAATTCATTTTCCTTAAAAAGTGGCATTATTTTTTTTTAATTTTGTCCAGATCAATAACCCAGCGGCCCCGCCAGCAGCGTCAGGGGCGCCGTCGCTCAGCCCTGCCCCACTCCTACGGACCGGCCTACGCGGTGGTTCGGGGCGCTCAGGGCGGTGCAGTCCCTTGGCCCGTGCAGCGCCTGGGCAGAGCTCGTGCGGGGCAGGTTAGCTGGGGGGCCGCGCGGCTCCGCACCCCTGCCGCTGTTGGCACTGGTGTTTGCCACACCGGTAGCCAGGGCAAATGGCAGGCCATAAAACGCGAGCTGCGCGCACCTGTTAGCGTGGAGTGAAAACACCACTGGTGTCTGTCACTGACCGCTTCACAACTTGAAGGAAAATCCATTTCCTACCTTTTAGACATTATTTCCAACACTTAGAGCTTAGTTTTGCCTTTTTTTTTTCTTTTCTCTCCCTAAAATAATCCAGGTCAGATCCAGAATTTTATCAAGGTTATGTAAGAGAATTTTTGTAAATAAGAGAAATCTATGAAAGTGGTATGAAAGCTTTAGTTGTTTTTAGGCGTTATCCATCACTTGTCATCAAGTGGCGGCTTCTTGCTCTGAAGGTGCATGACACGCTGAAGCTAGTAGGAATCAGCTTAAGACCAGGTGCTATCCATTCAGTTGAACCAAACAAGGTCATTTATACTATGAAGGAAGAGCAAAGGATGTGTCCCTGTTGTTGCCCATGTCTCTTTAGGTATTTTTGCACATTTTCTATTTTCTTTTTTTAAGGCTAGTGTTCATCCATGAAGAGTATATGGGGTTCTGCTTTTAGCACAGTAACACAACCAACGTGTTGAGTTCCTTAAAAACTCCGCATTAACAAGCAGCGATGCCCTAAGATGTTTGCACGCAAAAGGCTGTCCCGATATCCATGAGAACCTACATGAAAAATTGCTTGGAAAGTGGAGTGAAACGGATTTCACAGCAGAGCTCCAGAACGTAAACAAATGGGGAAAAGGGAACAGGAGACAGGAAGAAAGGAAACAAAAAGTTAAAAAAAAAAAACAGTAACTCCTGAATGCCGGAGCTGTTATGAACACAGATAAGCGGCTATTTTTCATCTGGGTGGTGTCCATTTAGTGGAAGGCAGGAGAAGGCGGCGGTGGGAGAGTGTAGGAGCACTCGGAAGCGTGAAGGAAAGAGTTAAGATTGGAGGCACCCTCTCGCAAGCCCTCTGGATGCTGCGCAGGGTTTCAGCCCCCAAAGCCTTCCCTCTCCTCCTCCCTGCATGTGTCAGAGTGGGGAGGAGGCGGGTTCTGCTGATCTGCTAAATCCTGAGTGAAGTTTCCCCCATTTCCAGTGGCCACTGTTGTTAGAGGCTGGTTCGGAGTACGGCTGGGGTTGCCCTGACATTTCTGGGATCGCGTCCAGAGAAGAAGGGAAGGAGAAGAAAAGTCGAGATTTCTACAATTTACTTTTGTCCAAGAGAGCAGTAGGGGGCAGGAAAAGCGTTCTTTTTTTTTTTTTTTTTTTTTTTTTT